TTCTGCTACTTCTGCAAGAGAAGCTAATACTGCTAAAAGATTGAAAATGTCGACAACTTACATGATCATATTTCGTCAGCATGTCAGACCAGTCCTCTCGTTTTGATTGCATGAATCCAATCTTCTTGCATTATTCTAGAAATTTCACGAGTATTTTTATTACTTCCTATTGCAGCAGGAATTCCGATGAGAAATCAGAGAAATTACCAAATTTCAAAAATGAAAACTATATGTGAGTGACTATATAGTAGGTACTTACTTTTGAATCATAATGTACCAATAACCGGATTCCTTCGTCTGCCGCTGCAGTTTTTGTGCATTGTACAACAGCACAATGTGATGGCATGCGCGATTCAATGAATAGCCGAAAAACACGATTCGTATGCCAAAATAATTGTGAAAAACTATTTCAATCACTTGAGAATATCTCTAATCTTTCATATGCGTCTAGTTTTCTAATGTTATTAACTTGCTGGGCTATGTGCCCATTTAAAATATGGCAGGTTAGATAAATCTTGTGTAGCCGAACATATGTTCAATCACAATCATAACACACATATTACTAACCTCAAATTAGTTGAGCAAGTTAATAACATTAGAAAACTAGACGCATATGAAAGCTTAGAGATATTTAAGAATAGTAATAGAGTAATGAATAAGGATAATGGACCTATTCCATATAGCCCTCTATATAGTTTAGTAAAATAAAAATTAAGATTAACATGTGAACTCAACCATGACAAACATTAACTTGACGGTTAGTATTTTTCACAGTTGGGTGAACATATACCTAGTATATAAGCAGCACACTAGAATAGGATATTTATTTTTAATCTTCTCCTGAAGATGCTAACATAGTTAGCGAAACACGTGTCGAGGCGTTAAAAAATCGGTTTGGTTAGTGGTAAAACAGTGTAGTGTATTATCGTGCCAAAGGTTCCAGTCTTCGATATAGTTAATAAACACGTTACATACTATACTTTTTCTACGAACTAATAATTCCTAACCTTCCTGCTAACCTACAAAATAATTCGAAGGAAATGGGAATTGAGAACATAATACATAATACTATGCAACTGCATGCAACCAATGAGACACATATAAGTTATATTGGTTGAAGATGTGCGCACAGTCCATAGGATAGATAAATTCCTATTGAAATGGCTTGTTTACTGACCTTTGTGAATGAGATTTCATATGACGTAGTAGATAAAAACTCTTCGATTCGTTGAGGTGTCAAAGTTTTCAATTTCTCAAGTTTGTATTCATGTTCTGATTGCATAATTCTCACATGAATATTGTGTTTTAAGTTTATTGTCATTATTGCCCACAAAGATGAGAGCTTCATTTTTACCTAGAATTCTTGGAAATATGCAAGTATCTACCTATGACATTCTCTTCGATTTCACTTTCGTCTATACATTCGCATACATGTTTAATGAAGAATTATGAAACAATCAGAAATTCAAAGAAAAAAAACAAAATAACACCAAGTCGGTCGACCACAAAATGTTATTACACAAATTGAATTGTTTGTGACTAGTTTCGGCTCATTTTCTTTTTGAAGATGAAACTCCTTTGAGTGAATTAATTAATATAATTTTCTCAAGTTTTTGCCAATGTTGAACCTTATGATAGTTGGGTTCTTTTGGCTGTTTAGTCAAAAATTTTAGCATTCCTTTACCGGACTGATTTTTGGCCGAATGACCACGGCTCTTTGAATTTTAATTCTATTTTATAATGTGATTTCCACGTGGCCGTATAGGTACTGTGTATTGTGTCTGAAGATGTCTGTCTGAGCCGAAACTAGTCACAAACAATGCAATAAATGTAATTAAATTTTTTGGTCGACCGACTTTGAGAAGAGTGGATGGTTTCCATGACATAAACAGAAATTGTTTGAATAATTCTGATTGCAACAAAATTCGAAAATGACAGTTGACAGTTCCTACAATCGACAGGCCGGACAGGCCTCGAACGACTGAAGGTATGTTTAAAAATCTCTGCTGCCATGGTAATGTGTTATAGAAATTGTGTTGCCATGGTAACGTGTTTAATATTTTGAATATATCACAGATCGTCACTCCGTGATTAATCTATCATTTAGCGTGGTACATATCTGTACGCTAAATGCCATTTTAGTTTGTGAGTATAGAAACATATTATTACTTGATAATGATCTAAATAGTAGGCAATGAACTTCATTCTGACAAAGAATATATAATTATTCCTTCATTGTCATCCTGTGAATTCAGGTTCCATAGGTTTCAAAGTACTATGGCAGAAAATATCAATTTCTCAAATGTGATTTTGATGGATTCATTCATAATTTTTTATCAACGCATAAAGAATATCAACAGAACATGCCGAGAGGTCAATGAGAAGTATCCTGATTCATCTCGAATGAATTTGACAGTTCTAGAAACATTAACATTTTCACTAAACCATCAACATCTTCACTATTGGCCTAGGTCATCTCCATTTCTTATGATTGCTCTCGACTGTCTCTCGATTTAGCAGATAATAGTTCTATGAATTGGCAAGCGATAGTGAAAGTTTCGAATCTGATCCAGCTGAGCAGAGATTGGCCTACATTTTGGTATTATGTCAGTCATTTTGTCATTTACATGCCACGGCACTCGCCCATAATTACGTTTTCTGTGGCTAATGGTCGAGAAGAAGGCGGATAATAAATTATATAGAAAAAACAGTGCCGTAACCAATGAAGCCTCCTTGAGGTACACACGCGACATGTAAAATACACAGTGTCACTAAAAACTCCGCATGAATTTTTTTATTATTTATTATTTAGTTGAAGCAAATTTGGGGGTCATTTAGAGGTTTGTTGGACGACTGTCATTCGTGTAGAGTGTCATTTGTCATATCCTTGGCACTTGCCAACTACTTATTGTCTTTCAACATGGTCAGGTGACCGTGCTACTCCACTTGTGGAATGCAGATGTAGGATGGACGCACTTCCATTTTAGCAACAACATTTGCTTTACATATGGCAGAGTGGAATAATATTAAAATCATTGGAAAAGAAGATAACAACCAGAAGAGAAAAATCAAGGAATCTGCGTGAATTCTTCTGAACGGAGACAATAGCATTGCTTCTTGTTCAGTTGATATAGACAGAACATAATATATGCTATATTCACAACTGAAATATGAGAATGAAAATGGTTAATTCAAGATTAATCAATGAAAACATCCTGTAACTCATTTGATTGCCAACGTCACCAATTGTCACTGCTGAGAACTGAAAAGTTTCAATACAGATACGAATTTGCTATTTAAATAAACATTCTTTATGTTGAAAACGGGAGCAGATTCGGTCCCGAAACGTCCAAAGATAAGTGAAAATTTGATATTTTTTCTATATACCTTTATTTCTTTTCTCCAAACCTTTTTCAATACAAATTGTCACTGACAAGTTAGTGAAGTTTTCTTTTAGGCTCTATAGTAGGAAAATTCTTTAAACGCAGTGAAATTTTTGGGCGCATCATCTGATTTGTCCTTACTACACGTATATTGAAATAATATTCATATTTTTATTTTATAGAAACGAGGAGAGAAAATCCCAAAACATTTGGAATAATGAATACATACTGATTTAGACATACACAATTAAGTAACTTCATATATAAGGAAGAGTTAGCCGTATACACGTGTTTCGGGCTTTTGGCCCTCATCAGTACGGTGAAAGAAGTGTAAAAGATAGGCAACACTTGGTGGAAGACGAAACAACAAATCGCGAACCTTGTCATTTTTTGACGTTTGTAGAAAAATGGATTTCTCAAAATACTTTTTTGGAGTGTACTTATAGATTTTTATTTTTCGAATTTATTACGCAGTATCTCGGAAGCAAAGCAATTTCGGCCTGAAGTAAGTTGGATTAAATCGGCTTATTTTGATCTCAGGACTATGTTTAGAGATTTTGTATAGACGTTTTAGTGAAAAATTTAACTATACCCAATGACATCATTTTGCACGGCTAACAAATTTGTCGTTCATTCACACGTTTGTGTGATTTAACGATATAACACCTTATAATCAGATATGGGAAAAAATATGTTAATTACCTATACACGCGTTTACAGAAATGACCGAACATTTTGCAGTTACTTATTTTCTCATTAAAATGTAAATAGGAGACAGTGAGAAATCTTCAGGCAAAACGCATAACCATAACTTGAAATTCAACGGCAAGTGTTAAGATTTAAATATCCTAAATCTGAATAAAAAACCAGTGAAAAATGTACGAGACTTTCGACTAAATTTCATTCGCCATTCACGTGTTGTTGGATTTTTATTGAAGTTTGTGGCGCTTTTCTGTTCGTTATATATAGATTGAATTGGAAGTATCAAAATTGAATGTATAGTTCGAGTTCTTCAAATCATCCTCCCTTTGAGAAATAGTTATTTATTATACAAGGGAAAAAAGTAGTAGATAGTAGCTCTAGGTTGTGTTGTCACCCGACGCGTAGCGGAGGGAGACAAAAAACCGTGAGCTGAAATCTAATATTTTTCCCGTGTATAATACACTATTTTTTTCTGTGACAGAAGAAAGGACGAATCAATATTGAGAAGATATTACATTAGTTTTTAACAGTAGGGACACCTGCGTTGTAGGCATCTTTATCATTCTTTTGAAGTTATCAAATATCTGATGTCATTTCTGTCAGTCTAATTCTGTGATTTGATTTCAAAAAATTGCGAATTTAGTGGTTGTTTAGTAATATACGTAACCGCGAAGTCGAATGGAAGATAAAAGGACTTTATATATCTGGGAAAAAAGTACTCACTTTTTTCCCACGGGAAAAAAGTAATTTATGAAAAGTGACATTTTATAACCTGCCAACAGAGATGAAATGCCAAACTTTTTTCTTGTCACAGAAAAAATGAAAATAACTATTGCACAAGTATCGTTATCAAATATTTGAGCGCTACTTATCTTTAACTATCTATTATTTAAAATAAACATTTCCTTTTTTCAGACCAACGATGATATAGGAGAATTATATCAAGATGAAGAAAACCAGGCAGCCATTCTAATGAGATCGGATGGTGATGGTTTGATACTGGTAAGTGGGTACCTATTATAGGTATTCATATTATTTTTACCTTATGTATTAATTGAAACATTCGATCCCATATCTAAACTGCTGATCAGATAATCCACACTAAATTCAACAATGAATATTTCCGTAATTATTTCAAGTTTTAGTGAGTAGCTCATGGTTTATTTTGAAGGAAAATCTACCAATTCCACAAGTTGTACCATAATTAGCGTTAAATTAATAGGCATCAGTAGATACCACGAACAAAATTAGTTCGAATGAGGAATATAACGTATGGTCCGAAAGTTTTGGAAAAAAAATTCACCTGGTTTGATTGAGTGACAAAATGCATTTAATCAAGCAGGCATGGTAATTAAATGTCACCCGTCTTGTCATCTAAATAAGCAATGCAAAAGTTGTTGGTTTGTGCGTGGTAGGCGCTTACCAAAATGTCTTATAAAATTGATCTTCGTCGAGGTATTTATAATCTCGTTGGGCGAATGACGAAACGAGAGATTGTCGATATTTTTCAAGATCAGAACATAAGTGAATCGACAATATATCGTACAATCAAAGATTGTGAAGAAGGGATACCATGTCATGTATGAACTTGTCAAAAAACGGTCGGCCGCGGATTCTGAACCAATTAGGTAACATAGCGGAGACTTATTCAAGCAGCTAAACACAGAATTGGGATCTCACAGCGAAAACTGGCCAGAAGATTTCATGTTGGAAAGACTACGGTGTTTAAGACCCTATCAAGACACAATGTTTTGTTCCGGAAAAGGAGAAAAGCTCCAAAATACACAGAGGCTCAGTTAGAAAGAATTCCAAGATGTTGCCGCGCGTTGAGGCGAGTGCATTGTGCCAACAAGTCGATCGTGATGGACGACGAAAAATATTTCACTTTGGCAAACTCTGAGATGAAGGGCAATGATGGTTTCTACACAGACGATCACGCAAATGTTCCTGACGATGTGAGATTCAAGAGCAAAAAGAAGTTTGAGGAAAAAATTTTGGTATGGTGTGCCATTTCTAAGGCTGGTTTCATTTCACAGCCCTACATTGGCGTTGTTCGTGCTGAGGCCTTAAATGCAGAGCGATATATTGACAGCTGTCTTTCTAAATTGCTTCAGTTTTTGAATAAAAATCATGCGAATGACGAAATTATGTTTTGGCCAGATCTTGCTTCATGCCATTATGCGAGAATCACAAGTGATTGGTATGGGGCCAAGAACATCAACTTTGTACCGAAAATGGACAATCCCCCCAACCTACCTCAGGCACGCCCAATTGAAGACTTCTGGGCAATATTGAGCCGGAAAGTCTACAATAACGGATGGGAAGCACAAAATCAAGAACAACTCTGACGTCGTATATCGGGAAAAATCAGAGAAATCAACGCTGGGGTCGTCCAAACGATGATGCAACGGGTCAGAGGAGAACTCAGGCAGATCGAAGACAACGGTCCCTTGTCGATTATTTGAACTTTAGGTAGTGATAAGAATAGTTCCATCCGAAATGACTTTCTATTTATCATCATTAGAGTGTTATTCAATATGTGAAATATGTGGAGCGATACATAATAGCCCTTGAAATGCTTTTCATTCGGGCTCTAATTTTTTATCGTTTCCATTCAATACATTATCGTGTTTACCTTCGGACACTTTTCGAGTGCCCAAACGAAGCATTATTCATGATTTCCATTTCTTTCATCTCTTATATATTATTGGCTGGAGATACTTCAAATAAGAATTTCACTGCGTTATTTCTAGCTATTTTATCTACGAATAAGTCAGCTATTGTAAATTGCAACAACATTATGTAATTTGACTTTGTAGTTTGTAGCAAACCTCTTCGGGCAACGAGACGGTTAATAAATGTATGCTGTCATCTTGTATGCCTCTATACAGGGTGTCCCAGAATAACGTTCCTATACCCTTTCTCATTTCTTCTACCAGAATATATGATTCTCCGAACACTTTTATATGAAAAAGGTATCATGTTAGAATGCTGTAAAACGAACCGTTTTCGAGAAAAGTGTAATTTTTTATTTTGATTTCCGAAAAAATTCAAAATCATTTTGAGCTTGATAATTGAATTTTCACATTCCCACTTAGTTTTGTTTTATTAGAGACACCCTAGCTGTATGTATATGAATATATTTGTATCCATGTGTTACAGTGTAAAATCAAAGTATCCAAATGTTTTTTTTCTTTGGTGTGATGATTCCTTAGCTTAGAAGATGAAGTAATTGACAACACCAGACTGCTTAAGAATTTATTCTGGAAATTCTGGGTGGTCGCAGATACTAAGATCTGTACTTGATTGATTGTTTGCAGCACATTCAGCAGAATGGAGTTGCACCAAAATATTGAATTTGAAATGATCCTGATCAAGAGGTTTGTCAGTGACCAATGAGTGGAATATTCAGCGACGATTCCATATCAAATGAATATCGTTGTGGGATCAAAATGGTGTAATTTCACTTTTTTATCACAGACTAGTTTGATTCATTTGCCTAATTACCGATTAAATTTAAATGATAGCTAGTGGACTGAAAATGCTTCAATCTTATTGTGTCATTTAGATTTCATGATATCCCAAACTAGTTTGCCAACTTGATGATAACTATAATGGTTCAATAGATTGAAAAAATAGCATTTGCTCAAAGTAAAATGTCAATATGTTGTTTATCTGAACCATAACAACGTGTATCTGCATACTAATGCGGTTGTATCTTGAAATGGTAAGAAAACAAGTGTATAGGTGTCTGAATTAGTTATAAATCAGATTAAAGATTATCAAAAAAAGTTCGTTTAAGATGTCGAACATGTTCTTTTTATTTGACTGTACCTAGTCATGATATCGCGGTAGACGGATAAGTACGTCACGCTCAATTTGGCTTTATCCTGGGTTTTCAATGGTTCAAAATATCGGGAATTTTAATGTTTGAAAAAATTAGGTATCTGGCAGTGAATTAGATTTCGGGTTAGTATAGAGGTATACCTACTTATGGTATATCTTCAAAGTTGAAATGATGGAATAAGATTTAGCTTTGAAGCAGTCCAATACAATTCTTTATTTTAAATCGTAATTCTCCTATAACAGATAATAAAGCTGTCAATGTCAAAAGATCCTAAATCTCACTAAGGCTTCTCATCACGTGATATGTTGAGACCGAGTTTGGTTAGCGAGTTGGACTCTAGAGAGTTGTTTAGTTTATGCAAAGTCAGTTGAAACATATCATCAAAGGAATTAAGGTGCGCGCTGCCGCACACTTCTCTAACAAAACAGATGATGCAGGTCGTCAAACTGGGGCCATTGCCATCACTCACGGTCTAGAACAACTAGTCGAACTACCAACCCACATTCCAGATGTCAACAACCATTCTGCCAATACACTAGATCTTTTTCTCACCAGCAATCCTGATCCATATGGAATTGAAGTTTGTGCTCCACTTGGAAACTCTGACCACACCCTCATCTCCACAACCTGCTCTTTCAATGTACCATCCAGCACCACAATACCTACCCGTTTCATGTGGCATTACAATTCGGCCGACTGGGAAGGTCTTCGTATGTTTTTTTCAGCGTTTCCATGAAAGAGAGTTTGTTTCTCCTCAGCAGATCCAACACGATGTGCTGAGACACTTTCTGAAATCATCATGTTGGGGATGCAAACCTACATACCGAACACTTTCTATCTTCCGATAAGGCCTGGTTCAGTAGAAACTGCTCTAGAGCTGTTGCTTCCAAACAGGCAGCATTCCATCGATGGCAGAAAAATCCAGGCCCTGAGACTAGAGCAGAATATGTCGAGGCTAGAGGCATATGCAATGAAACAATTCGATCATCAAAGGATGCTCATAATGCCAAAATAATATTTAAACTTGTTGAAGGTCCTAACGGATCCCGTTCATTTTGGTCCTTCGCCAAAGTTGTAGGAAGAAACTTCACTTCCAGCTCGTTTCCTCCTCTAACCAAGGAAGATGGAACACTAGCCATAACTGCCCAGGAGAAAGCCAACATTTTTGCGCATTTATTTGCTGGAAATTCCACTCTGGATTCATCGGGAAAACAACCTCCAAACATAACGCCAATTGACAGTCATATGCCCGAGATCACCGTTTGCCAACGTACTATAAGGAAGATTGGGTCTCAACATCAACAAAGCTTGTGGCTCCGACGGAATCCCACCGATTGTTTTCAAGAAATGTGCTCCCGAACTAACACTTGTTATCTGCAGGTTGTTCAACTACTCCTACAAATTGGGATATTTCCGTCCAACTGGAAAATTGCAAGTACAACCAGTTCCTAAAAAAGGCAAAAAGACCCTATCTATAACAACTACAGACCGATCGCACTGCTATTTATTATTCCAAAGATATTGGAGAAAGCTATCAACATCGAGCTCATGAAATATCTGGAACATCCAGGTATTCAACGATATCAACGATAGGCAATATGGCTTCAACTGGTGACCTACTCGCTTACATCTCACATATATGGCATATAACCTTCAGAAATTCAAGAAGAACACCAATTCCTACCTTATATCCCTTGGTTCTCACGATGTTCTCTGAACATTACAGAATATCCCTCTTCGTGGGACCCAGAATATATAAAAAAAAAACACTGATCTTTCAACGGGACCGATGGCCCGCCGGTGATGTGTTCCTCCAACTGACTTTGCATATACTCTACCCTGATCCACTAATACCACGGCATCATATCACAACTGGAGCTTTCATGGATGTTTTTTGTATGTCTCACGTGACTCATTGTGACACTTTGAACTTTCAGAGGGACCGACGGCCCGCCGGTGATGTGTTCCTCCAACTGACTTTGCATATACTTTACCCTGGTACGCTAATACCACGGCGTCAGATTACAATTGGGACGTTCATGGATGTTTTTTTTATGTCTCACGTGACTCATTGTGACAAATGAGAAGATGAAAATAGCGAATGCTTTGTAAACTGAAGCTGTCCTAACTCATCTAAATCCAACATCAGTCATCT